GAATGCGAGGTGGCCCATACAATAACTTTCGAGACCCAGCCTATGCACAAGTCAGTGCTTCTACCACCCCGGAAGAATCTGCTACCAATTCACCAACCCCAGAAAGTAGAAGGCTTGCTGGCTAGGACGTGAGCCCTGCCGAAGTTGTTCCTCGAACCTAGCAAAATTGAACAAGTACATTCTTCGCCGTTGGCCATTCTCTTTCTAGGATATGACAAGAATTCTTCATCCATCAAGAATCGCTGTGATTCTTCGGGTGATATGACCTATTTAGAGACTTCGGGGCCAAACGATTTACGAGGTAGTGTCTTCAGTCTCTATAGAGGCCTGGTGCCAGTTTACTGGCCTCGTAGAGTGGAAGACTTCGTTGGCCAAGCAGGAGACCTACCCAAGGTTCCTCCGCCAGAACGGGCACATGATGAGCATCCTGACTCCACTTCACAACTTCCGCCCGGGTCCTGAAATGCACCCTTGATAGCTATAGATGATGGGGTTTCAATGAGGCTCGGTTTGGTGCACCACCAACCGTTTTGCACCAGTTGTTGGAGCAGGTGTGTGGCAACATTTGGTGGAAAAGGACCACCATGAAAGAAATGGTATAGTCTCGTCGCTCGCCGATAGGAAAAAAATTTGAAAAACCAGGCTGGCGCCGCCATAAGTCCACTCCTTCTTGACACGCCCAGTCATCCGCAGCTAACAAAAGTGTAAAGCTTTTACGCGTTTTGTTTTGACATTTGAGCCTAAATTCACTTAAAATGTGTGTTGTGCCTTTCGAATTACGTTTTATGATATGCGTCTGACATGTGCAAATGAGCAGAAGTGAAGTCGAGGAGACATTTCAGATGGCATAATAATGCTGACGCTCATTTACCGAGTTGTTCATGTGTAGTGTGCTATGTTATTGTAAAAACACACATTCATAATATACGCTTTTTCGAAATTTATGCAATGAAAACCTAAGAAGAGCTCACCCACGTCTGATGAGGAAGTCAATGCTTGCATTCGAAAACATAACTAATTTTGAGGATAAAATGAATCCTTCGGCTCATAATTCCTGGCCATTTCGTTGTCTTAGCACATGTAGCATATTCCTGTTGCCTCTGTACCTTGGAACAGCTCCATGGGCGCAGTTCGGCGACGGGAGGGGGCATCGTGCACTTTCGCTGCTCCACTTGTTCCGGGACTAATGTCTCACTCTGGTGATACCTGTGAACTCTTGTGAAGCTGGAGCAAGCTCAAAACCTGTCAACTCAAGAAAAGGCTTTCTAAATAAGTAAATCTGTCGATGGGGACTAGCAAAATACAAAATTTCCCCTCCCGTTGCCAAACTACATTAACACCATGGGCCATTTCAATACTACCTACCCACGTTAGAGTAGAATAGCGCTGCCATTCTATTGCCAGTGTCTTTTTGCTGTTCTGCACACCCATTTCCGAATAAGACGTGCGAAATGCTACTCCCTCAGATTTTAGTGTTTGTTGAAGACGATGTGGCTAGTAAAATGAGGAGTCGTGGGGGCGAGCCGATGTAAGGCAAGTATTTCCTGTGCTCCAGATGGATCTAGTGCCTTTCCGGTTCCGGGAGGGTAGGAAACTCAGTGAGCAGGAGCGGTCCAGCATTTGATCCTCGAACCGCGCGTAAACGAGACCATTTGTCACCAACCGCCTCCACTTTAAAAAGAACATAGCCGTCATCACATGCGACATCATAGAGAACGCTACAGAACGCTCAATTTTCGCATCCAAAAATTTTTTAAAAGGAAGCTTACAGACATTATAGTCACAGAGCGGCATTTCCAAAGTGGTCGTCATTTTCTAGGTGACGGCGGGAGGAGATCGTCAGCAATCTAAATTGGTCATCCTATTCTCGAAGCAAGAGTTTTTTTGGGCACTAAAGCCAAACTTCCACTTACTCCTAAGTTTGAGCGTGTTCGTCACCCCCTAAATGCCCATGTCTATTCAGAAGCGAGCTTCTTGCAGGTCCTCGGTAAGAAAACCGATTTCGGTCTTAAGGATGTGGGTCGCCTTTTCGAGTCTACGGAAAGAAGCTCAGCGTTTTGAAAAAAAAAATAAAATAAGCTAGGGTAGTCTCCGAAGTAAATATTTTGACGACTTTTCAATATGACTCAAATAGAATTGTATGGGAAAGCTAAAGTTATCGGCTATATGAATATATCATTGCAATGTCAATGGCTCGGCTCAGATCAGAAGGGCTGCAAGATGTAGTTCAGTTCGCTTTTGATACTTTTATGGACTAGGGCTGCATCGACTGCTTGCTCACGAACACGCCAGTCTTCGTTAGTGTTAAGGTGGACATTTGAGCCGAGTCTCCGACTAACTTCAACTCCTAGATTTAGTTTTATAGCCCCCCCATGAGCCTTTATGAACTTGTCAGTGTTGTTTCCCTTCAAGGACGCTTCATCTAACCAAACTGGGCATATGAACCAGGTGGTGTTGAATTCCAGTACTCGTAGCGGTTGCTGCGCTCTCCTGCTGTCGCTTCCACTTCCCTGCAAACAATAATCTTTATGTGCTTTGTCAGTACATATGTCGCTTATGTCAGTCTCTCTTTGTCTGTTCCTTTCCGCATAAGTTCTCGGAAATGTGATGAATAAAACGTAAAAGGCAAAACCTTGTTGGTGTTATGGTGGGGCAAGTCTTCTGCTGGAGCAAATTTCTGCAAAATCGGACCTATCTCGAGATTTCCTCCTTTCGTACGACCCCTCTTTCGCCACGCTCCATCCGACCTAGCACATTACCCAACTTTCTACTACTTTTTCGGAGTGTCTGGGGAAATCCGGAACGTTTTCTTAAAAAAGGACCACCGTCATGTAGCGGAAGGGGTGGGGGAGGGGGTGGAGAGAAGGGTTGAATAGCGTACACAAAACGAAAAAAAATCCAGGAGAGAAAACATCATTTTCTCTGAGATTATACGCGATTGTCTTTCCCTCCAGCGGCGGAGTAAGAGCCCCTTAGGGGTTCCCGACGTACGACATGCCCCCAGTCTAACATGGCGTTTCATGAAACTCGTTCTTCGTGCCATTAAACCGACTAATGTTATATTAGACTCCCAAGCCATAGAAGCTCTGACCCTCTCTGGAGAGAGTATACAGGAAATCCTAGAAAAGGGAAACGTGGCGATTCCTTGGGAATGAAGTTGCTATATAACAAAACTGCATCTAAAATTGAAAAGCCCTGTATGGTCGATAGAGACCCGAGTTTGAAATGTGCAGTCTCCATTGATGTCCTTATCGTAACCATGTTATTTTATGTTAGCTTCATAAAGCTGAGTTTGAAAAATATAAACAAATGTTCAATTTTTAGGCAAACGTGCCAGCCTTCAATAATAAAAACGCGATGGGGGAACTCGTTGTGAATATGGGTCCAACGACCTTCATGTGTATCCTCTACGTCATATTAGGTAGGTAACTAACTGAGAGATTACTTCGACTTTGGCCAGCTACTGATCTTTTGCAGGATTTGTTTCTATGTTCTGTAATATTCTGAACCTATCGATATGGTTAACAAATCGTGAGCTAAGGCAGAAATACGTGTATTTGATTGCTCTCGACGCTGGTGAACTCGTTAACGGTAATTTCACTACTGACTATGAATTTAATATGATTAAAGTCTTTGTTTCTGTTGCTACTTGTATTCATATTAAGGTAGGGTAACTAAGTGGTTACTCGGGCTTTGGCCAATTCCTGATCTTTTATAGGATTCGTTTCTATGTTCTGTGATATGTTTTGATATGTGACGCTTGGCCTGTGCCTTAATGATTTTGTTAACGACGTTTGCTCGCAATTAGACCTCTTTAGAGGATATTTCATCATTCGATCATGTTTTAGGCAGCGTTCATACTTTGCGGCAGCGTCTACCAGCGTCCACTAGCGTTCCGAGCGCCCGGCAGCGTCAGCGACTAGGAAAGTATAAATATCGATCTAGCGTCTGCCAGCGTCTACCAGCTTCTGCAAGCGTTAACTACAATACACTGCTGACTAATTTGCATAATTATGTGCTTTAGCAGTTGTGCGATCGCACACGTTGCGATTTCACGACGCCTATTCCATCTGTTTGCTACCCTTTTACTTCCTCATACTCTCTACTCCCGGTTGCCGGTAGACGCTTGCAGACATTAAATCGATACCTATATTCCTTCGCCTTAGCCTTAGAGGCGGCGGCAGATGCTGGTGGACGCAGGAAGACACGGGAGACGGGCAAGAGAATCGTAATTTGCCGCTTCGCCGCGCGCGGCGATGGGCGCGGCGTTTTCTTAACTCGTGTTAACCTGTCGAGCACCGGACTTCATGTAGACCCCGTCATCGTAGACATTCATGACTATTTTCGGTTCTGAATTGCCTGTTGTCGCCATCTACTACCTGGAACCATCGTCATTTGCGGGCGCGACGTCGCACGCGACGCCTACCAGCGCGTGAATCACGATTCTCTTGTCACATACCCGGCAGACACTAGATCGCTGTCTATACTTTCATAGTCGCTGACGCTAGCGGGCGCTTGAAACGCTACTACACGCTGCTGGACGCTGCCGTAAAGTATGAACACAGCCTCAAATTTGATGCTTCCATCTGAAGCTCAGACATCTGGAATTGCTCTAAAGATCTCTCTGTCTCTCCTCAGGCGTTTACGTCGGAAGACTTTTTGCACCATTTTTGAGAAATGAGTCAACCTGATATTATCTCAAAGTGATAGTCAAAGTGAACTACACTTACTATTAGAGCCAGATTACTACTGTCCCTGGAAACACGAAGTAATAGGACGCTGTGGACCACTTTTTAGCTATGTGATCAATGCTTTCTCTTGGTTTCATTTCATTCCACAGTAATCTCTAAGACTGAAAGAAGTGTTTTAAGCCATCAGCTACATACTTGTCGGATCGGGCCGGGGACTAGCGCTGATTGGCGGCTATCTAACAACACATATTACTGTGCGACAGTGTTTCTTCCATGTAAGTTCTATTCTTGATAAAATTCCATTTACAGCTAGCGGAGGCTTAAAAAGTTAAATCACTCTTAGTTGTTCTTCATAGGCATTTGCAGTGGTTCTACAGCATAACTAACTGAAAACTAATTAGATCTAAACTATATTGAGCAATTAATCTCGCAGTTATGGATATGGAAACCATAAAACAAGGGAAACACTGGACACTAATTAATAGTTGCCACGAAACAAGAAAAAGGAGGTATGCTGCAGCGATTCCCCATATAGAAGTTGACAGCTAACAAAGGAGGCCTAGATAGAACGAAGAATTTCGATGCCAATTTGTACGTGCCCAATTAACTCTCATCTCCAATACTACGTCCCCATCCGCACAGCTGATTCTCCCGATAAGTACTCTTTTTTCTCCACGACTGTACAAGTGATCATGGCTTTTCATTATGCAACATCGTTGCGGGCCTTTAAGACGGAGTCAGGAGGCGAGTCACTGAAGAAAGGAGGGCGAGTGCACTGAACTATATTGGCTATAAGCGGCCCTTCCCTTATAATTTTTTGCGGCGAAACTGGTACAAGATTGTTCGTCGCGGACCACACTACTGTCCCCACGCCATATTTTCAACTTCTATACCTGATCGCGACCCCGTGCCTTTGAAGGGCCTCCATATTGACTCAACCATCCTTACCCTGAATTCAACCGTCGTTAATCCTCGTTGACAGAAGAAGATATGATGCAATCAGTGTAGGTTATGCACCCATATGCAATCAAAGTCTTGAACGTTTGGAATAGGCCACGCATCTGACTTTCATTCAGAATCGTTGTTGCATTTGACTGCGGCTTCGATGGGCGTAGTGAGCTGGCTTTCAAGTCACTATTGTCCTCACCAAAAAGTCTCAGGTTGCGATCACTTTTGTGATTCGGCTGACTTCATGAGAGATTATCACGTAGACTGTAACTTTTCCTCCCTAGCGTTAGCCCCGTGACCTTCGCGAGAGCCGCGGTTTTTA